CTGTGTGCGTATGAAAGCTTTTATGTGCGCAGCTCCTCTTGCTTGGAACAATCTGCAAAAAGAATTGAAACTGAGCAATTTGGTTCCACTGCATGTTTTCAAAGCTTGGATAGGTGAAATGCTCTTTGATAGTGTTGGTACTTGTAAACAGGGCCGTCCCTCCCTACAGGAAGATCACGCAGACTGCGTGGGGCCTCACCTCGCGGAGGGAGCCTCATCTTGCTGAGGGAGCCTCAACTGAGCCGCTAATGCGGCGCACCTATGCGTTTAGGCTGCGCAATTAGTGTAGCGCGGCACGGTGTCACCGCTGCGAGGCTCCACGAGGCTCCACTAGCCCCCCGCCCCACGTCCCCACCCCACGTTGACGCTCGCGAAACAGAGGGCCTCATCATCTAACCTTGCGTGGGGCCTCAAGTTGGCCAGGGACGGCCCTGCTTGTAAATGTCTCTAGGTATGTAAATGTGGCCCTGGAAATATGATGTATGATGTCCTTTATTGTTTTATGTTGTTTGTATGTTTCATGTGTAACCTACTTGCTGCAGGTCTCCCTTGAAAAAGAGATCAATGATTTCAATGGGACCACCTGGTTAAATAAAGGTTTGAAATGAAATGAAAATTGGCTAGCACTCCAACACAATGTATGGGATAGGCTAAGGAGCGGGAAATCTCTAAGCGGTTGACCAATCAGAGCAGACTAAGCTCTTGATTCAACACCATTTAAATGTCAGGTAAGGAATTGAATGATGGCTGGAATTCATTATCTTCTTTTCTTGTCACTTGTGTGGTTTTGAATACAATTTTAGAAAGTATTTCTACCTATAGAAAGGAACAATGCTACTTTTCAGATTACATTTTAAAATGTAATATGCATACCAATAACTCGTTAACAGTTACCTAAACTTCTACATTACACAAAGCACCTGAAATACTCACAGGTCTCCTTGACCTGGTCTACCGCCGAGACCTGAGCTGCACTTGAAAACAAATCAACAGTTGTCTAGACGTTATAGCAAACAAGCTAAACTTTTATCCATAAGAACTTAATAGAAACTCCTCCTCCTCACTGAGTTTGTTTTTTTTAGATGGAAATCTATTCCAAGAGGGTCCTCAATTGAATGCAGTTCAGGGCCCACAAAGCAGTAAAACAGTGAGGGTCTCAAGGTTTGATCAGACAATTAATGGCGGTTTCTCCCATAAGAGAGACACTTACAGCACCTTGGGGGACCGTTAATGGGGTTGCACTGGACAATAACTCCTGCTAGGCACTTCCACTCCCCTTCCCTGTACTACTTTTACAGGCTAGGAAAAAAAAAGGATGAAAGGAGAAGGCGTGAGTAGGAGGAGGAGAAGAGCATCGTAGCGCCAGCATCCTTCAGCCTCCTCAAAGTCAGCTAGGCGGCTATTAACCTTGGGTTGGACTGCATCGAGCAAAAAATTATTACGCAAAGTTATAATTTTATGGTGGTGTGGGAGCGGTGCAAATAAATTCAGGCTGGCGGGACAGGGTAATTGGAGGGCCTGGTAATAGGGTCCCCCTAAATGAACCTAGGTGTGAGAGGATAGAGAAGTTCTAGCCCTCCTCCCCCAGGTGATTTATCCCTCGTTCTTCCAGGCTTGGGAGTGACTCATAGCCTTCAGCCACTTGGGCACCCAGCCCGGCACTTTTAATTATGTGCCGATGTTGGGAGGAATGGAGGAAAGGAAAGGGGAGAGGGAGATCAGGAAGAGGGGGTAAGGGAAGGATAAAGCCAAGCTGGCTCTCACCCCCCTACTTCAGGGTCCTCTCCGCTAAAGCTCTTGAGCCGCACAGATGACAGTAAGCGGGGTGGAGGAGTAGCGAGCGTGTGAGAGGTGCCAAGCTCGGGCGCTTTATCTCGTTAGCAGCCTTAAATGCCATGCCGACGTGCCCTCCTATTTGTCATTCCTGCTATTGGTCTCTGAGGGATTTGAGAGGTGCTCTACGAGTTAAGAGAGACATTTCCACCCTGCATTATGCTTAATGGGAGGTGGAGAGGCCAGCAGGCTTATGGATACAGCAGAAGCAATCAGCGCTGAAATGCCCATCGGAAAAACATTTTTCGCAACGCAAGTTCAAACTTAGAGTGAGCTCACCAATGTTGGCCAGCAAAGTTATGCAAAAGACAATGAACTTCATGAATAAAACGGAGCGCTCTGACTGAGTCAAATGTAGGGCCATCTCAAAGAACATGGCCCAAAAGTTGAATAATGACCCCTATTAGATTCACGGCTTCGAATGCTCTTTAACATAAATCTAAGAAAAAGTCTGTAAAGTTCGTTTTTTTTACACTTAACTACATGGGATTGATTTTGCTTTGTTTTAAAGTAAACAACTTAAGTAAAACTATTTATTATAAATAATAAATAGGTATTATCCAAAAGAAACATCATTCTATTAGTACTAAAGGAATTAGCAACAATTTAGTAGTTATTTGCATTATGTGCTAGATGGATCTAATCAGTTTGAGAGATGTTGGTGTGCAATGATGTGGATCTTAGCCCTAAAATGTAACTTATATATCCAAATAGATATTAAATATCCAAACAACTTCCATGGGATTTTCTGTATTAGAAAGTTACACACAGCTACAATTGGAAAGGGATTTTCAGGGGCCTTGTGTCGATTTAAAGAACTTTATTTTAAAAGAATATTGAGGCTTAGACTGTGACAGTTATTGGACCAATCTAGTGTTGGGTTCACACACCGAATACAGACCTCAGCATCTAAAAATGTAGGTAGAGTCAGATTGGAAACCACTTACTGTGCGAGCTAAGGACAACCTTTTGGCAATCAGCTGAGACATCACAGAATTGGAAAGTCTACACTAGCCTCAAGGTAAATCGATTAATAATGAGTAATAAGCCCATTCATTACATAAATCGAGTGACTGTGATTATTCACCCTACTATTGAACAATTTGCTTCTGATTCTCTCGTGTCTCAGCTTTGCACTAATGCCAAAATAGTGAAAGTGTTAGGAGGAGTATATTAAGCTCCTGTCAGAGTGTAATAAGAAATCACACAGATCGACTGTGCTGTATTGTCGCTATTCCCAACAAGCTCTGTATTAGACTCGCTACACAGCACTTGGATTGAACTACGTCTGTATTCAGTGCCAGGTCGTTTTCACACTGCAGTCTGCCAGAGAAATAGGCTTGTTTCTTCAAGGCAGAAATGCTGTACATCTGTGTGTATGTGTGTGTGTCTCACTCTCTCTCACTTTCTCTCCATCTCTCTCTCAGAGAGCTAATTATTTCTCCCCCGTTTAGAGCCAACTGTTTCTGTCATCTGTCTCTGTAATGACCTCTGCAAGATGTGCATGCATGCACACGCCCCACTCTCTATCTTTTTTCTCCTACAAGCACCCTCACAGCACAAAACCCTCACCAACACTCAGAAATACAGGCAAAGAAACCATACAACATGGATGCACAATATGCAACAGATATTTCTGCTATTAACGATAACTCAGGTTAGTTGCAGTTGAGGGTCGGACTGCGGCTCCTCGGCTACACCTGAAGTCCCTATCTATCTGAAACAAATAGTTGATAAAGAGAATTTCAAAATCCTGACACAAAAGTCAAGAATTCTGATAACTGATAAACCGCTTATCGTTAAAGACTAGGTAAATTAACAGACAATTAGTCCAACAATATTCCCATGAGTTTATGTTTTCTTGTCATATTCAGTCAAACACGGTAAACACTGATTGCAACTTATTACATTTACCCCGTTTATTTCTTCTTCTTTCTTTTTTTATGAGTCCTATTATGCCCATTTTCAGGTTTCCTAATTGTATTTTCTGCCTCTACTGTGACATGTTTACATGCTTAATGTTTGAAAAGGTCTTTATTTATCTCATACTGCCTGTGCAGCACTTATTTTCGACCTTTGTCTGAAACCAGAGCCCTGTCTGCTCTAAAAAGCTTAATAGGGCCCCTTTAAAGATTTATTTTCTCTGTGTTATGAGATTTTTTAGAGCAAAAAATGTAGTAAGACAATAACAGCGGTTTAATCGTTTTGGTTTTGTCGAGCAACAATGTTACAAGCCTCACATTTTAGATGTGCTTCTAGCAGATCTTGCTGTTTTTCTCTGGTTTAAATTAGTCTACATTATGAATCATGATGTAAACTTGGTCCATGGAACATTTCGATGGGACCTTTATCCAGATCACCTTGATGTCCAAGTGGGTACACTTCATAAAATATAACCGCAACATCCTGGGTTATTTGCAAAAATGGCAAAAAAATAAATCTACAGAAAACGAATAAATGTTACTCAAACCCAATGTGCACTTAAAGACAACCCTGGCTATTGTTGCTTTAGGACTGGCAATGACAGAATGAATGGACACGGAAAGGTTACCAGCAATACAAGGTAACAGTTGTCAGGTATGTTCTTAAGTTTTGGTCTTTAATGTATTTTTATTTTATTTGACATTCATTGATAAGTACAAATCTTCTTCAGCTTTTTGTTTTTAAATATTTTTCATGTATTGTAGAGGGAGCCAAAATGGACCATTATTTGCAATTACCGGTAATAATGATAAGGGGTCATAGTTTAGCTCACAGCATATTGCTCTTTTTGGCCCTTTCGGTCTATTCAAACATTTGTAACCTTTTTACAATTTGCAGGACCAAACCCTATTGTATGACAACTATACCTACCTGAATCTTTCTGCACTCAAATCCTGATTGCCTTGAATACATTTCCTGATTAAAATCAGAACTGTTGAATCTTAGCTTCAGGTCTTAACATTAACAAACAAAAAAGTTTAAAATTCTTCAAACTTTTTTCAACTCCAGTATGATCTGATTGTGTTCTTCTTCCAATTCGCCTCTTAAACTCCATGTCATAATGTTGACTACTATCATGCTCTGCAGAACAGTCTTTGACTCTCATTTGAAATTTGAAATTGAGATGCAATGCAAGAGGTTATTTGGTCATGCGCTTCACATTTAACAGATATTCAAAAACAAGTTTGCCTGCCTCTGACCTAGAGAAGGTTATTCATTTGTTCATTCATTTCATCTGTATGTGTTATACCAACGACGGAAATAAATTAGACATCTGCCATTGAATAAAAATATATTTATATTTAAAACCCTTGAAAAACTTTTCATTCAAATTCCATAATCCCTATTGGACTACTTTTTTGTGAGACCTTATAACCTTGGAAAGCAAACTGAAAATAGAAAGTTTACTCCTTCCACTTTAGTGTCAAACTAATGTTTCTGAAATCTTAATATCTTACGTCCACTCTCAAAAGAAACTAACTTTCAGAAACATTTAACACATGAAAACAATAACTCCAAGTTAACCTTATTTCACAGTAGTTGAACAGTATCTTAGAATAAGCCGGAATCCCATCTTTTAATTGAAAATAATGATAAGGTGTATTGGATCTTATTTATGTTTTTTGCTTTTCCTGTTTACCTGCATTTTACCTTAATGTTAATTTTAAATTCTACACATATGTTATGGTCGAGTCCATTGTTACAACTACTGAGCAGAGGAGATGCAGCATCATGGATACTTGTTCCTATTATTATAAAGAAGAGCCATTTGGGATTTGGGGACACAAACTACTACTATGAACTAAGTAAAGTAAAATAGGAGTTCCCTTCTGTTGCAGACATCTTCCTTCCTATTCCTGTAAATGGAATGACATGTCTGTCATTAAGTATTTTTCTTACCTGGTTGTCAAATTTTAGGGACTGTGTGCCCACAAGGAAACGGATGGCATCAGTTTCAGCTGTCTGGGCTGTAAGCGCTCGTGCCTGCAATATGATACAAAATAACACGACTAATAAAATAATACTCATACTGTATAATAGATCAGAGAATTGCTTAGAAGTATACAGAATGGAGTAGAGCTTTCAGCCGGGTAAACATAAATAAATAAATATACAGTCTATGGTAAACACATAATGAATGGTGACAGTACCTGGAATTCGAGTCCATAAATGACAGGAGCGTCGTCCTCCATGTTTCAGTCTGTTTCCCAGAGCTTTCTTAGCGTTTTATTTGTGTTTTATAAACCTCGTCTCACGGTCAAAACACTACAAAAATACTGCATCTGAACAACGTACTGCACAAACACAACACAGTTGATCCACTTCCGCGATTCAGAATTGGAAAGAACGAAGCGTAGGACTAAACTACGTAACGACAGCCGTGCAACGTTCTAAAGGTTTTTAAAGTTACGTAAAAAACGTCGGGAATACAAAATATCAGCGTCATGAAATGTGTCTGCTCTTGAATACCGTAGATGCAGCTTTCCTTTGGAACTGCGCATGCGCAGTATATGTATATCTGTCAGTGCAGTAAGGTAAGAACATAATCGTGTTTGTTTCAGTTTTGTATTTGTTGTTTGCCTTTTCGGTTTTATAAGAATATCGCGGTAGTATGTTTCGTGTTTTTTAAAACGAGGAGAGCTATGAGTCGAGCATGTTTTCTACATTTGCAACCAGCTGCTTAGTTAAAATAGCTTGATAGCCAACCGACTAATGTAGCATTAGCCAGATAGCCAGTAATACACAGACAGCGAACCTGCGATATATTGCTAACGGCTCTTTCGTGACAGGACGTTAAGCACGGATAAAAGAGCTGAAGCTGACTCGTTTATCTCCGGATGTAACTGTGAACGTAAGCTCAATGACGATGACTAGAGCTCGTAAAAAATAGCTTTTTGCCTATGATGACAGGAAGTGACTGAGAAAAATGCTGCACAGTGTTGTACAATTACGCAGAGAGTATGAGTCTGTCACAGTTTACATTACATCAAAAGGCATTTCTTGATTTTTCAGGAGCAGTAAGATGGACAGTGAGGAGGCTCCTGCTCAGAGGCCAGTCACCTTGGAGATCACAGTGGAAGATGTAACCGCTGAAGCCCCAGGCCCAGACCCTCCAAAGCTAACCATCAGCCAGACCCCACTCAGAGAAAATCTCCTTCCCCAGGTAGAGAGCATCGACTTGGGCGGGGAGTTTTCCACCCCCCAGGAAGACAGCAGTGCTACACCTTCAGAGAGCCTGATGGACAAGCTAAATGACCAGATGATGGAGAGCGTCCTGATTTCTGACTCGCCAAACAACAGTGAGGAGGAGGACGACGACGAAGACGTAGCCCCCATGGACTCCTTTCTAGATGCAGTGGAGGAGGAAGATCATTTTCACGAGACATCAGTCGACAAAGAGGAACAAAGTGAAATAGGTCAGAATACGACTGAGATTGAAGTTACAGTGGAGGAACAGGAGAAGGATAGCTCTGTGGAGAAAGTGGATGAAGAAACCAGGGAGCAGACAGACACTGAGGAGCAGGTGATATCCTGTGTTTCACTCCAAGTTGACGAGCACAGCCCGTCTGATCCCAACAGTGGGGAACAGTCACTACTAGAAGCTCAAGAGACGAAAGATTTCTCTGTGCCGGTGTGCACTATATTCAGCCATGGCGCCCATCCAAAGTCGTTGGTGCCCGATGGATTCCAGCCCACCCTCATCAAGTCCCCCAGTTTTAGCATGGGGAGCGGTGTAGAAACCAGTGAGGCAGTGACCCCCAGCAAGCTGATGGCTCCCCTCGTGTGCCAGCCCAGCCCCAGCCTCAGTAAGTTCTTCAATGATAACGGACATGTCAACCCAGCCTCAGATTTCTTTGATTCCTTCACTGTCCCCTCCTCCTTCATCTCTGTTTCAAACCCAAATGCTGACATCCCTCCTGGTGCCACCCCAGCGTCCATAGCCCCCAACCCTGAGCGGCAGCTCTCCTCCACCTCCTCCTCCATCTCCAACCCCGGTGGAGCTCTGGACTCTGGTGCTCCCACTCCTAGTTCAGTGTTTGCCCCATCTGAATCAACCGCCAAGGCCCAACCTCCTCCATCCCAAGAAGCCCCAGCTCAAGCCCCTGCCCCAGCCCCTCAGCCGCAGCCCTTCAGCACGCTTCAGGCTGTGTTTTCGGGGAGCGATGACCCATTTGCGACAGCGTTGAGCCTGAGTGAGGTGGACCGGCGCCATGATTCCTGGCTGCCATCTGAGGAGACCAGGAAGGTGCTGATCTCTGTGGCCACCCAGCAGTACAGCCCTGCCTATGTAGAGACCACCAGACTCACTATGCCCGGACTCAAGTTTGACAACCTTCAGGTGAGACTTATGCTGTAATCAGACAACATATTTCTTTGGAAAGTTTTGAGAGCTTTTATATAGACTGTTAACCAGGGCTTTAACACTGAGGTTTGAGAAGCATGTGAATATTTACTGTCCTAAAGCATTATTATGCTACATGCTGGTGAAAAGTAGCTACTGAAAGATGGCTAGCTTGAGTTGATGTTACAGTATAACAATATCAAACAGCCCAGGTTCAGGCTTGTCGCAAAACAATTATTTATCATGCATATTAAACATTTGTTTAACAAAAACATAATTTCATACAAACTCAATATGATAGTAGCCAGGGACGTGCACAGACATTTGGAGGGGCTATTGCTCTAAACTGGAAAAAGGGCCTCCCCCTGAAAAAAAACATAAGACCTT